GGGAGAGGGAGAAGCAGGCTTCCCGCCCAGCAGGGAGCCTGATGCGGGGCTTGATCCCAGGACCCTGGGATCATGACCTGAGCTGAAGGCAGATGCCTAACAACTGAGCCACCCAGGTGCCCCAATAATGTTTTTTTAAATTTTATTTTATTATGTTATGTTAGTCACCATACATTACATCATTAGTTTTTGATGCTAATAATGTTTTTATCTTACTAATTTTTTGGCATCTGTTAAGACTTTTGCTTTATAGGTTAATATGTGGTCAAGATTTAGCCAGGTTTTAGTCATTTTTTATAAATATTCTTCATGTTTGAAAATAATTTATTAACTTATTGTTGGATACATGAGCCTAAACTTACTAATCTTCTCTAATGTTACTAATTATTTTGGCTGAGGCAGGTATATTAAAATCTTCCCATTATGATGGTAGATTTGTCAGTTTCCCATAAATATAATCATTTTTGCTTTATATTTTGAGGCTTTGTTATTAGGTGCATACAAGTTGAAAATTGTTTTATCTTCCTGGTAAATTCTTTATTTTTAATTGTGTGTGTGCATGCCTCATTTTTGTTTGTTTTTTTTATGTAATGATCCTCTTTTTTTCCCTTCTAACAGTGCCTTTTGCCTTAGTCTCCATTTCCTGACAGTACTGTAGCTATTACTGGCCTTTTTGTTTTTTTAAGACTGATTTATTTATTTGAGAGAGAGAGGGAGGGAGAGAGATATAGGGGGCTGGGGCAGAGGGAGAGAGAGCTTCTCAAGCAGCCTCCCCACTGAGCATGGAGCCTAAAGTGGGGCTCAATCCCACAATCCTGAAATTGTAACCTGAGCTGAAATCAAGAGTCAGACACTTAACTGACCAAGCCACCCAGATGCCCCACTGTTACTGGCTTTTTAGTCATATATCTTTGCTTGTATTTTTTTTTAATATACTTTAAAATTTTCTTTATCCTCATGTTATGTTTTTAGTATGTCTTTTGTAAAACAGGACCTCATTTATTCAATTTGAACATTCTCCTTTAATTGTTAAATTTAGTCAAGTTTACAATTATTACCGTTACTAACATATCTGTAGTTATTTCTACAATCTTATTATATGTTTTCTGTTTACCCTGCTTTTCTCTGTGCTGTTTTTTTTCCTTCTTACCTGTCCTCTGTTGGTTTGAATAACCTTTATTTCTTCTTTCCTTCTGCTGACTACCCCTAACATTTTAATTGTATTTGGCTTTGTAAAATCTTATATTAAACTGGTATGTCTAAACATAGTGATCCCAAGGGACACATGCACCTCAGTATTTATAGCAGCAATGTCCACAATAGCCAAAACACGGAAAGGGTCCAGACGTCCATTGACAGATGAATGGATAAAGAAGATGTGGGGTGTGTGTGTGCGTGTGCGCGCACACACACACACACAGGAATATTACTCAGCCATCAAAAAGAATGAAATCTTGCCATTTGCAACGACAGGGCTGAAACTAGAGGGTATTACGCTAAGCGAAATAAGTCAGAGAAAAGCAAATGTCATATGGTTTCACTCATATGTGTAATATAAGAAACAAAAGAGATGAACATGGGGAATGGAAGGAAAAATACGATGAAAACAGAGAGGGAGACAAACCATAAGAGACTCTTACTCTAGGAAACAAACTGATTGCTGGAGCGGGTGTGGGCAGGGGGATGGGGTAACTGCGTGATGGGCATTAGGGAAGGCACTTGATGTAATGAGCACTGGGTGTTATATGCAACTGATGAATCACTAAATTCTACCTCTGAAACTAATAATATACTATATGTTAATTAAATTGAACTTAAAGAAAAAAATTGGTATGTCTACCGTATTTCTGACAATACAAGGACCATGGAAAGCTTTAATTCCAGTTACCCTCCACCAATGGAAAGTGTATATGGTATATGGTATTTTACCTCTGTTCTTTTTTGTCACTCAGGGTAGTCTTTATTATTGCCCCTATTACATTTAATTTTTATTTTTGTACTTTTGTTGTTTTCTAATTCCCAAGGAAATTATAAACTCCTTATTTAAACTGGTTATATCACTCTTTCTCTTCAGATTTTCAAAAGAAACAACCAGACGATGATTCCGCTCCAAGTACAAGTAACAGCCAATCAGATTTGTTTTCCGAAGAGACCACCAGTGACAACAACAATACCTCGATAACCACGCCAACTCTTAGTCCCAGCCAGCAGCCGCTTCCGACAGAATTGAATGTAACTTCACCAAGTAAAGAGGAGTGTAAGTGCCTAGATCTTTGAAGTGGTAGAGAAAGCAGCCCAAGAATCGTATCATGAGCTTCTTAGTAATGCCTTGTCTCAGAAAAAAAGATAGCGGTTCTTCTAAATCAAGATTAAGTGTTGACGTGTAGGCCCAAGTCAGCAAGTTAGGGAATAAATTTTAGCTATTCCGTGGAGCTTAAGGTCCTTTTAAAAGATAGCTTTTTTGGTTAACTGTCAAGGTTCATACCTTGTCTAGGGCAATGGTTCTCAGTCCTGCCTGCAAAATAGAATCCATTAGAGATTTAAAAGCAAAACAAAACCAGAAACAATTACAATCTTTAGCACCATTCTCTGAGTCTAATTTTATTGACCTGGAGGGAGCCCCAGGGACTTGTACTTTTTAACTCTGCAGAGGATCCTAATCTGCGCTAATTGATGAGAACCACTGGTCTAGAGAATTTGCTAATTTAGGAACCTTACTTCTGTCACTCACTGGGCCTTGTATGTTACTAGGCAACTAACTGAGATAATAACACTATATACTTCATAGAACATAGGGTATTTGAAGAGAGGAGGAAATGGTTTCTCTTATTCTTCTGTAAGTCCTCAGTGATAGAATGTTATTGTTATATATGTGATATGGAAGTCCATTGTCCACTTAACTTTTTTACTGCTGTAGCCAACTTCTTTGGGGCACAGCTATAACTAACAGTGTCTGTTGAAAATTTGGGGCACATTTTGACATAGCAGTTTTTGCCTCTTAAAAGCTTTAAATTAACAGGTTGAAATTTGATGTTTCAGATTTAATGAACATCTAGAAATCCTTGGAATATGGTAGATTAGAATGTTCTGCCTACTCACTTTGGAAAGATTAGCAGAGAACAAATTATTTATCATAAACCAGTGCACTAGGTGACATTGAGAATATAAAAGTAAAGAAGGCCAGAGTCTGTGTCTTCAAAGAATTTACTCTTTATCAGGGTAAATTAAATACATTTGTTATAATACGTCAGTGGTTCTCAACCAGGAGTGATTTTGTCCCCCCATGCTATTAAACATCCTACACTGCATAGGATAGCCCTCCACAACAAGGAATTATCCAGCCTAACATGTCAGCAATGCCAAGGTTGAGAAACCCTGAATCCATTTTAATGATTCTTCTTAAATATTAAAGACAATGATTGTTGAAGAAGGGTGTTGGTTTACTGGAGAAAATTGTGCTGAAGACAGACACAAGGTGGTGAAAAGACATTCTAAACGGAGTAGAATGAGCTTTGGAGGAAAGGTACATGGAGTTCTGCACTGGCAAATGACCCTTTTAGCGCCATTTATAGAGGACAAGGCTAGAAAGGTAGATGATGATCAAGTCAGAGAGGTTTAAATGTTCAGCTTAGATATTTAGATGTTAGACAATAGTCATGTTTTTGAGCAAAGAAAGTAATATTACAGTTCTTTTGGAGAAGTAACCTGAAAATGGGAAGAATTATAGTAGAAGAACATTGCAGAAGAAGAATTTTTAAAATACTATAACCTATTGAATAGAGGCCCAGGGGAAGGTGTAGAAATCATTGAAGAGGAGGGAAGAAGAAAAGATTAAAATGGTAGTGATAATGTTGGGGTAATAGGTTTTGTTTTGTTTTTAAAAATCTATTTGGGGTCATGTACTTACTGAGAAACAGATAAAAGGTAAGGCCCCTTGTTTCAGAAAAAAACACACCATCCGTTTATACCCAATTTTGGATAAAATGTTTTAAGTTCTCTATGGCCTTTAGGTGAAGAACTCCTTGTCTAAGGGAAAGTTTGGAGCTGGTCAGGATCTCATCTGATTGGATTCATATATACCAGGATCAGGCCACAACAAACCTGAGTAGCCAAGTTGTGTGTGAGATTGAGATAACAATAGCTATCATTTATTGAGCACTTTGTGTGTAAGACATTGTTCTATATGTTCTGAACATTTTCTCTTAGAAGCCTCATGATAACCCAGTGCAGTAGATACTATCATTATCCCCATTTTAGAGCTGAGGAAACAGGCACAAAGAGATCAAGTAATTTACCTGTGGTCACAAACAACTAGATACCAGAACCAGTATTCAAATTCAGGCATTTGGCTTCAGAAACCATGCTTTTAATCAGTTAATTCACAATGCAAAACATAATTGCCACAGAAGATAGAAATTTTCATGCTGCCAAGATCAACACTTTCTCTCTCTGTAATTAAGGTACGTGGAAACTCAAATCATAACCAAAAGTTAACTTTATTAATTCATCCTGAAAAATCTTGTAAACAGGGAAATAAAAATTTATACATAGGACTAAAACATTTTCTCTGGAGGCAGACCTTTCTGGGAAGCCAACCCATACGAGGGTTTATATAGCAAATGGCAAAGTGTGGACTCACCAAGTGGAATTAAAATGAAGTAAATTTTTAATTGAGTCAGGCTAATTGTGAGGTGTGCTCTAAGTACATATAAGGAAGGTCTTGCATTCAGTGCAAGATTCCATCTTCATACCCTTTTTCCCCTCCTCTGCCTGGACTTAGACCTGCTCTGAGCTTTGTAGCCCCTAGGACACAACACTTCCTGTGTTTCCATAGCTTGCCTGTCTAGGTTATTATACAATGCCATGTTTTTTCTTTTGATAATTAAATACTTTCAGTCTGAGTAAGGATGTCTAGTTCTACTAGCTTCAGATCCATTCTCTCTCTGATGACATCACTGCTTTAAACCATTGTGTTTTTATCTTGAGTTCAACTCGCCGAAACTAATCTTATTTCCTAATCCTTATAAGGCTCATTATTGTAATCTTCAGGTTTTCACAGATCTGAGGAATTGAGGATATTTGCTAATCTGAGATATGACGATGACTTTCATGTTCAACTGGTTGAGTTGGAGCTCAGGAGAGGGAAGTCAGAGTTAGCTTCATGCCCTTGGGAGATGATAGTTGAAACCTTACTGGTTAAATGAGATTGGCAAGGATGAGAGCAAGAAAAAGCAGTGAGAATAGAACTTTGAGAGTGAAATCAAAACAGAGGACGCAACTTGAAGTCAGAGAAGAGTAGAATGATAGTGGGCAAGTTCACAGAGGCCAAGGAACAAATTTCAGCTTGTTGTGTTCTTTCATAGTAGTAACGAAAATGTAAGCTCACATTTATGAATTGTTTGCTATTTTCTAAGCACTTTCCTAAGCTTTTTACATGTACTAACATTTAATTTTCACAGGGTCTTATGAGGTAGGTGCTTTTATTCTCATTTTTACAGATGAGGAAGATAAAGCATAGAGAGGTTCAGTGACTTCAGTCCGCAGTTCCAGAGCTGCTGCTTCTCAGTATAGTTTATGTTCAACCCACTAATTTGGCTCCAAAGCCTATGCTTGCAACCAATTGCCTCATCATTAAAATGCTGCAGACTGTAAACTGACAAAGAGACGTTTGGATTTGATGATCATGAGGTCGATTACCTGAATATAAACTATTTACTAATCTATTGCAGATTGGTTGTATATTCATTTAGCGGTCTTTGCTGGGAGCCTACTCTTTTAGGCACTAGGTTAAGTGCTGGGTACAGAAATGAGCAAGATTAGGCCCCCAAGGAGGTCACCTTTTCAAATATATATGCCTCTCCCTGAAATTCTGGCTTGTTCTCCGACACAGGTACAGAAGAATTTCGGGGTATAAGGAAAGAGGCAGCAGGAGCAGTGATCAATAAGCATGTCATTTGCAAAAGCTTTCTCACTGAGGTTGAAAACTATGTGTGCCTGATTTGTATGTGGGGTATATAGGGATGAGAAAAGTAGGGAAGTTTGTTAAAGTGTTAGGGCAGGTACATTGTAAGTCAACATGAGATAATTACAGTGATTGCCAAGTAGTGATGAAGACCCAGGTGAGAGTAGACAGCCCTATCCCTAGGCACCTGGCAAATTTCTTCAGCTGTGATGTACGTCGTAGAAGCAGGGTGGAAGAAGAGGAGGCAGGGGATTACTTATGTTGATCTTTTAGCATCCTCGGGACCAGAATTTCATCTGTTGCTCCTTCATAGCTTCCCTTATATAGAGGTATGGAGAGGTAGGGTGTGGAAGTTGCTGGGGAATGGGTTTGGGATTGCAAATCCAAGTACCACACAATTTGTTAACTATACAGTAATTATGGATCTGTTGTTATTGTGTAGAACTGGAATGCTGTGTATTCTTTAGGACTTGTGAGAAGGTCTTACTTTTTCTGTAATAAGAGAATGAGTATTGTTTATATCTGCTTTTTGCTTCTGTCAAATGAATGTACGAAAAGAAAGGTGGTGACAGTCTGGGTACATTAATGCTGTATTGAAAAGACTGCAGGTAGAGTTAAAAACTACTGACAAGAGTGGGGCACCTGGGTGGCTCAGTTGTTAAGCGTCTGCCTTCGATTCGGGTCATGATCCCAAGGTCCTGGGATTGAGCCCCACATCCAGCCCCACATCCAGCCCCACATCCAGCTCCCTGGCTGGCGGGAAGCCTGCTTCTCCCTTTCCCACTCCCCCTGCTTGTGTTCTGTCTCTCGCTGTCTCTCTCTCTCTGTCAAATAAATAAATAAAATCTTAAAAAAAAAAAA